AGAATACAATGTGTACTAGTACAGTTTGGTACTACTGCTGCCTTGATTCATGGTAAAATTCCAGCAGTTTTACCCGTTTCTTGTGCACTGTCAATGTGAAAGGGCAAATATATCTCTACAGTTTTGACATTGTGAATCACTTGAAAGGTTTTTGGATACCTCCAAAGATCTGTGGGCCACAGTTTGAGAAACACTGCTTTACCCCAATGATGGATTGAGATGATTCAAAACTTGGGCTTAGTCCCTGTGAGAACTGGCCTATTTCTGGTTCACTTTTAGGTGTTGTAGCCCTGTGGGTCCCAAACAAAAGCCTAGGTGTTTCCTGTCACCTTCACACCTTGACAGGCTTTGAGTTCCAATCTTTGTCTATCAAAGATCTGCTTCATCTAGGCATTGGAAATAGGTATTAACTACCTCAAGGAGAAAATACTAGGCTTACCCCTATGGGTTTTTCTTCTCTTCTGAATCTGGATACCATAAATCCTCTTTCCTTTTTGACCTTAGCATATATATTTTTTAAAATTTTTCTCCAGTATTTCTAGTTGTTCTCAATAGATTTGGCTCAACGTCAAGATTGCCATTTCTGGAAGCCTCAAGACATTAAACTGTTCATTAATGTTCTTTTTACTATTTAAGTATAAAGACAAACTATGTGTGTTGTAAAAAAATTTTAAATAATACAGATATACATATAAAATTTAAAACTATAACTTCTCTCTCCCTACCATGTCTCACCATTCACTTTCCCTGGCCTCCTACAAAGAAAACCACTTTTGTCAAATTGGTTTATGTCCTTTAACTCTTTTCCCTATAGATTTAGGAATAGATATTTGTGTATATATATATACATTTTTAAAATATATCAATGGGTTCATACTATTTTTCCTTCCTAATTTCTCTTATAGAATAAGCTTCACTTTTTAGTTAACTAAATGATTGATAATAACACTTAACATTTTTCATGTGTCAGACACTGCCCTAGATGCACTAATACATTATTTCATTTGTTCTTCACAACATCCTGTGAAGTAGATATTCTTACTCTCTTTTCATAAGTCAGGAAAGAAAGTTTTAATGAAGTGAAATATAGCTAACCAAAGACACACTATTAAGTTGTATCGTCAATATGAATCCTGATTGTGTCAATCCTTGTCAATATTCACTTTAATGCTATCATATATCTGAAATAGGTTATAATGTATCATAACTCTTTTTAAATGCCTTTCAATCAAATTTACGCACAATTTTATATTAATGTTAACTTCCTGGTGTTGATATTATACTAGAATTATTATATAATATATAATAAATTGGGTAAACTAAGAAGGGTACAAGGGGCCACTTTATACTAGCATTGCAATATCCTGTGTTTACATAATTATTTTTAAACAAAAAGTTATATATTATATGGTTCCATTACATAAAATTTTGAATTGAGATAGAATTGACAAATAACACATTAGTTTCAAGTGTACAACATTATGATTGGGTACTCATGTATATTGGGAAGTGATCAACACAATAAGTCTGGTTTACATCCATCATCATACATAGTAACAAATTTTTTTTCTTGTAGTAAGAACTTTTAAGATACATACATTTTTTAAATTAAATGATACATATGAAAAACAGATTAGTGGTTTCCAGGGAATATGTGGTGGGGAAAGATTGGTATGACTGTATAGTGGGCAGTGCAAGGGGTCTTTGTGGTCATGGAACACTTCTGTACCTTGATTGTGGCAGTGGTTTTGCCAATCTATACATAGTAAGTTGCACAGAACTATACATACATGCACAAATGAGTACATGTAAAACCAGTAAAATCGGAGTAAGCTTTACGGATTGTATCAATGTCATTTCATGGTTTGTTATTGTATTATAGCTATATAAGAAATTACCACTGGAGAAAAACTGGGTGAAGAATACAGGGAACTTCTGTGCTAATTTTGGACAGTCCTGTGATCTGTAATTATTTCAAAATAAAGAAGAAATTACAATTATTTAACAGAACACTAAATCACTTCTTAAATAACAGCTTCTTGTAAATGTTGGTTTTTTATAATATTGTACAGTAACCTCTTAGAGTGAATTGTTTTGATTAGGAATTACTGTTTTTCGGACTTCCGGCAAGATGGAGGAATAGGTGGACGCACCGTACCTCCTCACACAGCCAAGATGAGAACAACAATAATTTACAGATAGAATAACACCCAGAACCAATAGAGGATTTATCTGAATGGAAGTCGGACAGCCAAGAGGTTGAAGTAGACCCGTACATCCAGACCGGTAGGAGAAGATGAGCCAGGCAGGCTCGGGGCTGGCGCAGGTAGGCGGCGCACGGAGGTCGGGGAAAATTTGGCACGAAATCGGTTCGACAGCCATCCGTGGTGCAAGAATGCAGCGGTGATCCCTGAGTACGCAAGCTGCGGCTGGCGGACCCAGTGAGGCAGCGATTGTGGACCAGAGTAGAGCTCACAGCCCAGGATCCCAAAGAAGGGTTTGAGCCCAGGAGAAGGGAACTACCGCCATTGCTCCCTCCCGCTCCCGCCCCCACCCCCACATATAACGTCACAATCTAGCCACTGGGGTGCCCAGCCCCGGTGAACACCTAAGGCTCCGCCCCCCACCATAACAAGAGCGACCAGACCGGAGGAGAGACAGGGAAAGACATGTTTCCAACAGAACATATCAGTCCCCCAGGACTCATCCTTTTGAGCAACCAAGAAATAGCCAATCTATCAGATGCACAATTCAAAACACTAGTGATCAGAAAGCTCACTGAATTGGTTGATTTTGGGCGCAATTTAGATGAAAGGATGCAGGATACCACAAAAGAGATGCAGGAAGACACGCAGAGGAGAGCCAATAGTGAAAGGAAGGAATCTGAGTCTCAAAACAATACAGTGGACCAGAAGGAAGATAGAATCAACCAAGCAGGAAAGCATGATGAAATAAGAATTCAAAAAATCGAGGAAAAGCTTAAGAGCATCCAGGACACCTTTAAACGTTCCAACATCCGAATTATAGGGGGTACCAGAAGGGGAAGGGGAAAAGCAACAAATTGAGCACGTATTTGAACAAATAATAAAGGAAAACTTCCCCAATCTGGCAAAGGAAATAGTCTTCCAGGAAGTCCAGGAAGCTCAGAGAGCCCCAAAGAAGTTGGACCCAAGAAGAAACACACCAAGGCACATCATAATTACATTAGCCAAGGTAAAAACGAAGGAGAGAATCCTAGAAGCAGCAAGAGATAAGGGGACAGTAACCTACAAAGGAGTTCCCATCAGACTGTCAGCTGATTTCTCCAAAGAGACCTTACAGGCAAGAAGGGGCTGGAAAGAAATATTCCAAGTCATGAAAGACAAGGACCTACATCCCAGATTGCTCTATCCAGCAAAGCTCTCATTTAGAATGGAAGGGCAGATAAAGTGCTTCTCAGATAAGGTCAAGTTAAAGGAGTTCATCATCACCAAGCCCTTATTTTAGGAAATGCTAAAGAGACTTATCTAAGAAAAGAAGATAAAGAAAAGACATGTATAGTAAAAGGACAGCAAACTCACAATTATTAACAACCACACCTAAAGCAAAACCAAAAGAAACTAAGCCAACAACTAGAACAGGAACAGAACCACAGAAATGGAGGTCACATGGAGGGTTAGCAACAGGGGGGTGTGGGAGGAGGAGAGGGGGGAAAAGGTATAGAGAATAAGTAGCATAGAATGTAGGTTGAAAATAGATAGGGGGAGGGCAAGAATAGTATGGGAAATGTAGAAGCTAAAGAACTCATAAGTATGACACATGGACATGAACTAAAGGGGGGGAATGTGGGTGGGAGAGGGGGTACAGGGTGGAAGGGAGAGAAGGGGGAAATGGGACAACTGTAATAGCATAATCAATAAAATATATTTAAAAAAAGGAATTACTGTTTTTCTCAGTAGAACCAAAATTTTCAAAAGTTTCTAATACTAAAGAAAAAAGATGGGATGTGTATACAAATTGCTTTCAGTAGTCAACTAAAATCCTAAATTAAGTATTTTGGAATAGAAGGAATGGAGTTTTCCTCTTTTGGGGGTAATTATTCTTTTTTTCTTTTCTAGTTAAGATTGGTTTCACCAACATTAAGATTCTACCCAATGGAAAAATAACATATTAAACAATACATGGAAAAAATAGTAGTAGTTCAACTTACCTGTATAATACTATCCACTTGGCACCATTTTGAATTATTCATGCCTATAAAAACATTGAAGCCTCAAACACTTTGCTACTAATTTTTAGATATTCCTATTTTATTGATAAGGACAAAGAGACAAGAGTTGTTTCACAGGTAATAATAACTGCACCAGGTTAGCTTTCTACTATAGTTAAATTTGTGGATATCTTTTAAGTAGTATATGTTGGGCTTTTAAAACATTTCCTTGATTAAAATAGTATCATCTTAATTCCTGTCACTAAAGAACTATTTTCATTTGCTGTATTTTTACCATAAGGCGCAAAACAGAACACTATTTTGAAAATGTCTTTCCATTATGTCGAAACGATAGAAGCTAACGAGAGGGAAGAAAATGTTGAATTTACAGCCAAAGGAATTTAGCTTATCACAGGTTTGCGAAAACAAAAATATCTGCTCTTTGAAGTTCTCATTGTTAAGCCCTAATCTTTGATATCATTTTTATAACCACAGTGATGTGACACCACCCCTGGGGCAACACTAGTGGAAAAATTGGAACATACCCGCCAGGCACTAAGAGCAACAGGGAAATTCTGCTAAACTGTAAAAAGCAGCCTTGCTCGGGTAGGTGAGCACGAGGACTCTGTCTCGACTGGCGCGGCAGGCTTGATGACGTAGGCACGCCTGGTGGAAAAGCGCCTGCGGGCACTTCCGGGCGGCATCTTGAGGAGCCTTATCAAGCACTTCCGGGTAGCACGTGGCAGCAGGAGTGACTCCACACTCGGCCTCTGCTGTTGTGGAGTCCGACACACAGTGAAAATCACTGAAGATGGCGTCGCGGTACGACCGGGCAATTACTGTTTTCTCCCCCGACGGACACCTCTTCCAAGTGGAATATGCCCAGGAAGCAGTGAAGAAAGGGTCCACAGCGGTGAGCGATCAACTTCTTGACCACCACCCCCTGCCAGGTGTCAGGCCTTCCTTACCCTGCTGTCCCAGCCCAGCTGTCGGTGGAGGTGGACACAAAAGGGGAGTCTCCCACTTGTGAACATTGCTTCAGGTTCCTTTTATTAAGGGAGATGACTAAAATTTTGGCTGCAAGTAATAGAGTAAAATTTGGTCGATTTCATAGGCTTCTGTTGTGCAATTGTCTTCGTTTAACAATAGCCCCAGGTGCAAAATGTGTGTATGCAGGTGCCTTGACAGTAGATATTAATGGTGTTTTTGACAGTAAGGGAGGATAAAGATTTCTTTCAGCTTCTAACAGCATACCTGAATGCACTTGATCGACTTAATCAGGAATTCACATATGCACTAAAAAGAAACAGTTTCTTCACGTGGGGAGATGTTGTTTAATCATAATTATAATAAAAATTAAAAATTGATCATGCCTGTCCCTGAAATACAGACTAAGTCGATGTAAAATTAAATCCTTGTTGGTGAGGATATACTTAAAATAGCTAAACCACCTATCAAACACTTTCACTTGTTAAAAAGTATTGTACTATTATTTGCACCCAAATATTTGGCAATCTTTTAGGGACTCTAAGCCCCAAGAACCGCCAAGTGTCTTTGGGTAGGTTTTTTTGTTGTTGTTGTTTGGTTTTTAAATAATATTGAAATTCTTGGAGAGATTGTACCCTACTTTAAATTTACCTAGCCACATTTCTGAAAATGTGTAGCTGTGTACTACTGCCAAGTTTTAGTTATGTTTAATAATCTTATGGTTTATAAAAATTTAAAATGACAAAAAGTGTTCTGATGGCCAAAGATAGATTATCTCAAACCTTCTAAGTATTAGCCTTTGATACAGAATGATCTATTTTTTTTAATCTCTCAAATTTCATGAACCAGTTTGTTGTGGAATTTTAGACACCAGCTATGAGGTACACAGTTCATTTCTAAGTGTAGCACTGACTGTATTTTCTCTCACTTTCCTTACTAACTTAGTTATGGAAGGAAATAATAGTTCACTTGTATTATAAATATATCAAATGTAAAGTGGTAAAGGGAAAAAAAACACTGGAAAGAATCTTACCATTTTTAAAGTATTTTTCTACTTAATGGGACCCGCTAGTTTTGCTTCTGTTTTGTAAGTAATTTTTTTAGAATTGTAAATTTAAGAAAAGCCTGAGGTAGCTTAAACCAAAAGGGTGCCATTTTGATAACAACAAAAAGTTATATAATCCCCAGCTTGGCATGAAGCATATGGTTAGAAGATAATGCCCAAGTTTTAGAGCCTAAAATAAAGGGAGTAATGGGAGAAGACTGGGGTATAATAAGAAACCACATTGGCTCATTTAAAATGTTTTAGAACACTATAGAATTGATTGATCATTCCTTTGTAATGAGCTGTAAAAGGGTAAGAATATAAAAATACCTATAGCGGGCATTTTTAAAGATACATTGGAAGGATAAAACAGTTTTGTCTCAGGATTCTGAAATTATAATTTGCATCTTTGTATGGAGTTATTGATTGTGTTTCCATGAGGGTGCTATGACCTTTTCATGGGATAAAGTTTACAGTGGCATTGTTTATTCAAATATGTCACAAAATAATCAGTCTATAAATGATATTTGATATGAGTTATAAATAAGCCAAGGTTGACCAGTTTTGACCAGTATGTGAATATGATAGTAATTCAAAAAGTTATATGGGCCACAATTAGAGGCCTTGGGTTTTATCTCCTTCTTGATGATTATTTTACAGCATGAAGCAAGACAGGAGGCCTGTTTTCTTGTTAGTTTTCTTTTCTGTAAATGAAAAATATCTTTGAGTAATATTTTGGAGAGGTAAAACCGCTCTTTTGGGAAAAATATGAATCCTTCTGATATTCTCATGAAAAAGATAAGATTTATTATCATTCCTCATTCCGTCCTTTCCTTGACCCTAAATTGTTATTAGCTCCATATTTCCTGATTTATCAAATCTCAGTTCCACGGTCTGGCCATCAAAGTCTTTCATAATTTTTATCTACCCTCTTTAATTAAGGGGGCAGCTTCATAGTTTCACTAATATATGCCTCTGCCCTTGTAAGAGGGGAGAGGAGAAATTACCTTTCTTTCTGCCACTCTTTATCTTTACTTTTCTTCCAAGATCACACATTCTTCCTCCTTCAAAAAGCCATCTCTGATTCACTCTAGTCATCATGGATATTTTTCTTCTTCTGAATTTATAGTCTGTAACAAAGAGCATTATACAGTATTTAGTATTTGGCCTCATATTCTCCTGAATAGTCTTTTCACACCAACTGGATGGTAAGATCTTTGAGAATCTAGATGGTATAATTCCTTTTGTATTTTCACTGCATGGTATACAGTGAAGAGGCTAGGAAGGAGGTAAACAAACATTTAAGTAATACTTATTTTATACCAAGTATTTCGTGTATATTATCTAATGTTAATGACAGTGTTTAATCCCTTTTTTAAATATGTGTAGAATCTATAATTCAGAGCTTTCAGAGTTTGTTGAAGGTACAGGTAAAAAGTGGTGGAGCATGTATTCACACTTAAATTTGTAAGTTCCAAAGCCTGTGCTCTTTGCAGTGTCATGCAGTTGATTCAGTAAACATTTGTATATTAGTTTATCATTATCATGAATGTGAAACCCAGACATGTATCTTACAAGGCCATTAATTTCTTTAGGCTTGTTTTATTTTAAATATTTTATTTATTTATTTTTAGAGAGAGGGCAGGAAAGGGAGAAAGAAAAGGAGAGAAACATTGATATGTGAGAGAAACATCGATTGGTTGCTTCTCATGCCCCCAACTGGGGACCTGGCCTGCAACCCAAACATTTGTCCTGATGAGGAATCGAACCGGTGACCTTTTGGTTTGCAGGACTACACCCAGCCCAGTGAGCCACACCAGTCAAGGCAGCTTCAGCTTCTTTAACAGTAAAATAGGCATCAAAATAGCACCTGCTTCATAGGGTTCATGTGATAGTTGAATGAAGTAATGACGCGTGTTAAGTATCTTGCACAGTGTCTGGTTCAGAGCAAGTATTTAATACATGGTAGCTATTATTACAATAAATGGTAGCTATTATTACTATCTCTTTTTCCTTCAATTGTGTTTATAGTTCTTCCAGCACATTCATTTATTAAGTCAAGACATTTTGGCTGAACACTTTACATATGCCAAATATGGTGGTTGGCCCTAAGATTTCACAATACGCAAGAGAGACGCCATTCCTGTCCTTGGAAATCTTACTATCTAGCAGGAATATTATATAATCAAATAAATAGTCCTAACAAAGCCTAAATTATTATTACAGCGAGGAGACTATGGAGCATCATGGGAACTCTAGGTGTTAGGAAGGTCCCCCTGAGGAAGTACCATTTAAGTAGGCACCTGAGAGATGAAAGAAAGATTAAAAAAGTGGAGGGGAAAAGAGGGAAGAGTATTTTAGACAGACAAAATGGTATGTAGGAAGACCAGGCAGCAAAAGACAACCATGTTCTGTGAACTGGAAGGCATTCAGGATTGCTGAAGCAATGGAAAAAGGGGAGAAGATGAAGCTGGAAATGGGCCATGTCGTGGAATGCCTTTAAGGGAATAATAGGCCTTGAAGAGTTTTGATGTGGTTATTGTCATTCTCTAGGTTTATTCTGTCTTTCTAGTAACAGACTGCATTCATCCCACACAGCAGTACTCTCATGATCCAGGCAGAATCAGTTTTGATCCTCCTGGCCACAGTGGTGAGCATGTAACTCAAATCTAGCCAATATAAATCCATTCTTAGGACTTTTTTAACTAGAGAGAGTAGTAGCTTTTTTTTTCTGGGAGACTGTTATGATATGAGTCCAGGTTGCTAGTGACTATCTTTTTTTCCATATAGAGAAAACCTCTCTGCATTAAGAGTAAAATTACAATCCCTAGATCCTTTTGTTTCCAAGCCAGCTCTATGCTTTCTTAATTTTTGTAGTGAAAAATGGTCCTTACTAATACAGGTTTTAAGTAGAGGAATGCCACATTTAGATTTTCTTTTTTTTTTCCACATTTTTATTTTTTCAAAGATTTCTCAGACTACAGTATGGTAGTGGATTGGATGAAGTCAAGACTGGAAGCACGGGGACAACATAGAAGGCTATGAAAGTGGCCCAGGTGAAAGATGCTAGTCATTTATTCTAGAGTTCAGCAGAAATGGGAATAAGGCAGATTGCAGAGAAACTTTTAACAGTAGAGTCAATACAACTTAATGATTATTTGGATGATATTCGGGGCAGGGGAAGGAGAGAAAGAGGTTATTGAAGAGGGAGGAGTCAAAGATAGTGCCTCTGTTTCTGGATTTTGCCTCTCACTAAATGACACTGCCGTTTTAGGGAATATGAAACACTAAGTTTGAGGGGAAGCTAGCTGAAGCTGGACTTGCTGAGATTGAGATGCTTATGGGAGCTGTAGTAGGCAGCCTCTAAAACTGCCTCCAGTCCTCTCCACCTTCTGGTGTTCATGCCCTTGTGTACTTCTCTCCCCTTGGGTGTGGGCAAAATTATTGACCTGCTTCTGAGGGATGGGGCAGGCAAAAGTGATGGGATGTCACTTCAGAGATTAAGGTATACAGAGATAGTGACTTATATCTTCCCCATCCTCACTGTCACTTGCTCACACTGGTGGAACCCAGCTGTCATGTTGTAAGTTGCCCTGTGAAAGGATCTGTGTGGCAAGGAACTGAGGGAAATGTCTATTCAAAACTTAGTATGGAACTGAGGTTCTTAGTCCAACAACCTGTGAGAAACTAAATCTTGCTAACAACCATGGGAGTTTGGAAATGCATCCTCCCCCACAAGCCTTAATTTGAGTACAGCTAAGGGGGACAACTTGACTCCAGCATTGTGAGAGACCCTGATCCAGAGGGCTTAGCCCATATGTACAGATTGCTGATGCACAGAGACTGTGGGCAACTGAATATGCATGTTGGGAATTCAGGAG